GCTCGCGACGGGCCGGCCACCCTACTAACCCTAGCCCTACCCATGCCCTACCCCTAACCCATGCCCTACCCCTACCCCTACCCCTACCCCTTAGCCCCGCTGCTGCGCAGGTCTCGCTCTTCCGGCCGTACGGCGAGGAGACGGCGCGCTGGCTGGTCGATTTCAACAACGAGCTCGACGAGCTCGCGTCGCGCCACCCGCTCATTAACGCCTCCATCACCGGCTTTGGCGTCAACTACCTCTCACTGCAGATGTACACGCTCTCCCACTTCCCGTACGTCGTCGCCTTTACCGGCCTCATCATCTCGCTCATCCTCTTCATCTCGTACCGCTCCCTCGTGGTGGCTCTCCGCTCGGCGATCACGAACCTCTTCTGCATCACGATCGTCTACGGCACGGTCACGCTCATCTACTCAGAGGTTGGCGTCGCGTGGATGGTGCGCCTCGCCACCGCCCTCCACCTTCCCCTACCCCTACCCCCTACCCCTAACTCCCAACCCCTACCCCTACCCCTACCCCTACCCCTACCCCGACCCCTACCCCTACACCCCTATCGCCCTAACCCTTGACCCCTAACCCTGACTGACTGACTGACTGACCCTAACCCAGACCCCAACCCGGCCCCTACCCCTACCCACCCCAACCACAACCCTACACCCGCACTCTAACCCAGACTCTAACCCACACCCTAACCCGCGGCCGGATCGTGACTCTCGGCACGTGGCCTCGTGGACGAGCGCAGGTGCCGATCATCACCTTCTCCATCCTCATCGGCCTCAACATGGACTACGACGTCTTCCTCGTCACAGGCATCCTCTCCGCGCGCTCGTCCGGCCTCTCCAACCGCGCCGCCATCGTGGCCGGCCTCGAGAACAACGGCACCGTCATCGGCGTCGCCGGCCTCATCATGGCGGCCGCCTTCTCGGGCCTGCTCTTCTCGCACACCGTGGCCAACCAGCAGCTCGGCGCCGCCACACCTCGCCGCGGGCGCGCGCCCCGGCGGGCCGCGCCTCCGCTCACGCCGTCCCCCCCCCCCCTTTTTTTGCTGCACAGGCCTCGTGATCCTCATCGGCATCACCTTTGACACCGTCTTCTTGCAGACCATGCTGGTGCCCTCGCTCATGGCGCAGCTCGGCGAGCTCAACTGGTGGCCGTCGCGCTTCCCCGACGCCGGCATCGACTCGCTTGACGACGCCGGCGCGCCCGAGGAGAGCGACTCGGCGCGCATGTTTGCCGGCCCTCGCTCTGACGACGCCGAGGCGGGCGGGGCCGTGGGGGGCGGGGTGGAGGGCGGCAGCAGGCGCGGGACGCCTCCGCAGCGAGACGCCCTCGCCGTTACATTGTGACCGGCTGCGCGTCACCGTCGCAGTCGCCACACGCGCTCTTAGCTACGCCCCCGCCGACCCTGTCTTGTATCTCTTGCGCACACACATACGCCAGTGAGCTGCTGGCGCGACTGGTCGTGTCGCTCCGGTCCCTTTTGTTACTCTGTATGCGGAGGTGAGGTGTGCGCAAGGAAATCTTATACGTAAAAGCTCGTGCACGCCGGTAGGAGGTGGTTGCTCCGCCGCCGGACCGCCCTCTCGCGCAGCCTGAACTCCCCCGTAGAAGCTCGCGAACAGTGCGGATTGTTGGAGCGCCGCGCCGGACCTCCCCGCCGGGGCCCGCCGGGGCGCCATATGGGACTCGTGGTGCCCGAGAAGCTTAGAGGTGAAGGTTTTTTGCTTGTGTCTATCGGTTCATGTCATGGACCGGCCGGCCTACTCAAACATGTCCGCGAGCAGCTCCTTGTTCTTCATGACTGCCCAGTCGGTGAGGCCGGCGAGCAGGTTCGTCTGCTCGTTGGTCAGTGATGTGAGACCTCCCTTGAGGCCGCAGCACTCGCCGCCGGCGCCACACGAGACGATCGGGTTGGGCAGGAACGAGCCAAAGTGCGGGAAGCCGGCGAAGGGGCCGTCGTCGCCCTTGGCCAGCTGGTCGCGCGTGTCCTGCGGCAGCTGCGCCTCCCACTCTTTCGAGCTCGAGAGGTAAAAGAGGCAGAGGTCGAGACGCTTGTCCGGCGCGACGCCCATGTAGTCGTTGCCCACCTGGGGAGATATGGGGAGATATGGGGAGAGATGGGGAGAGATGGGGAGATGCGGGGAGATGCGGGAGATGCGGGGAGAGACGTAATCGCTGCCCACCGTGGTCAGCGTCATGCGCACGACGGCGGTCTTGCCATCCGCCATGCTGTCCTGCATCGCGCGCACAAAGGGGCCAAAGTCGCTCTCACGGAAGACTCGCAGCGTGGCCGGGTCGCGCTCGGGCCAGCCCCACCTACAGGACGGTTCTAGGAGAGGTCTAGGAAAGGTCTAGGAGGGGTCTAGGAAAGGTCGCGCTCGGGCCAGCCCCACCGGTCCGCGCCGACGGAGAGCCCAAAGAGCGGCGGGAGGAAGCTCGAGATGGATTCGCGGAGCTTCTCCTCCGACGTCTCGCTGTACGGGTCCTGGGGAGATATGGGGAGATATGGGGAGAGAGACGGGGAGAGACGGGAAGAGACGGGGAGAGACGGGGAGAGGCGGGGAGAGGCGGGGAGAGGCGGGGAGAGGTGGACCTGTGCTAGGCCTCGAGATACGGGGAGATACGGGGAGATGTGGGGGGAGATATGGATCTGCGCATCTGGGCTCGCTACCCACTTGTCGCGCGGCGCGAGCGGCTGGGACGTGTTGAGGAAGCAGACCTCATGGTCGACGCTCCGCACCAGCACGTTGTACTGCGCGAGGATGTCGCCCTCGAGGTCGCCGTCCCCCTGCCGGTAGCGGCTGGACGGCGGCGGCTGCGGCTGCTCCGCCATCTTTGGCCAGTCGGGGAGGAGCGGCCCAACCAGGGGCACGTCGAGCAGCTTGGTGAGCCCGTCGACGATTGTCGATGTGCCAGTCGTGACCACCGCGTACTTGCGCAAGCAGCAGAAGAGGCCGCCGCCGAACTGGCAGCGGTCGTCGTTGCGCGTCGACGGGTCGGTGCTCGCGGTCAGCCAGTAGAGGTCGCGCTCGCCCCAGACCGAGGATGCGCCCGCCGCCTGCCCAGGGTTCGGGTACCGTGGGGGTAGGGGAGGGTGGCTTCGGGTACCGTGGGGTAGGGGAGGGACGCGCCAGCCGCCTGCTTCAGGCTCCAGCGCAACTCCGGAGGCGGAAGGCCTTCGACGACTGCGCTCGCGCCGGGCACGGCATCCGAGAGGGACGATCCCGCCGCGGCGCCTCCGTATGCAAACGGCTCGATCATTCCGCCCTTGGTGACCTGTAGGGAGAGATGGGGAGATATGGGGAGACATGGGGAGATACGGGGAGATCATCCCGCCCTTGGTGACCGTCGCGGTGGAGCCATCGGCGTAGGTGACGTCGACGTCCTGCAGGAGCGGGTAGCCGACGTACAGCGGCGTGCTCTCCATGTTTGTGAAGGCGTTCTTCGTCGACGAGAGCAGCGGCGCGCCTGCGGAGGATCGCTCCGAGAAGGTTCACGGAAAGGTCCAGCAGCCGTTCTCCGCCGACGAGAGCACAAGACGCGCCCGAGCCAGCAAGCAAGGAGCCGTCCTTAGGCGGGCCGAGGGAGGAGGTGGAGAGGATGAGGAACGGCGCGCCCTCGCGTGGGAGGAGGAAGTCGGAGGCCTTGAGGTGCCGGTTCCGCGCCAGCGCCTCCTCGCGAGACTGCTCGTTCCACGTGAAGAATTGGTCGCCCCCGAGCCCGTACGGCTGCAGCACCGCGTCACCCAGCGACTGGCTCCAGACCTGCCCGGGGTTCGGGTACCGTGGGGTAGGGGAGGGTGGGTTCGGGTACCGTGGAGTAGGGTAGGGTGGGTTCGAGTACCGTGGGGTGAGGGAGGGTGGGTCCGGACCTGCCCAGGGTCGCCTGTCCAGCAGCCGAGGCAGCCCGCGCGCGCGGCGCGCGGCAGCAGCCCGAAGAACATGTCGCGCGTCGCGCCGTACCCCAGCGACTCCTTTGGCAGCTCCGCGAGCTGAGCCATCGTCAGCTCCTCGGGCGGCGGGCTCGCGCCGTAAAAGACGCTGTCGGGCGTGTCGTTTTGGTTGTAGACGGTCACCGCCGTCAGCCACGAGCCGCCCGAGACGCCGGCCAGGTACCGCGTCCTCTTCAAGTGGTGCAGGTTGTGAAGCGCCCGCATCTGGCCGTAGCCGGCCGCGTATGAGCGGCACCCGCCGCCGCTGACGCACACCCCGATGTTGGCGGTAACCGTCGTGTCTTGGAACCCGGGGAGCTGCTGCTCGGGCCAGGGGTAGTCCACCACGCCGACGGTGTTGAAGCCGTTGTAGCGCTCTCCCGCCCAGAGCTTCGCCGTGGTGCTCGGCGGCTCGCAGCACCGCAGTCGAGGCTGCGGCGTGCCGTGGGTCGTCGCGGCAGCCGGCGCCGTGGAGCGAGCGGCCGCCGGCTGAACCAGCGGCTGCTGCTGCCGGTGCTGCTGCCTCCGCATCTTGACGTAGCCACTCGACGGAGGTGGACAGCTGGGCGTCGCCATATTCTGCGAGAGAGAAGGCGAGCGGAGGGCAAGGTTGTGAAGGCTCTCTCTCCGGCTGCGCGCCTGACCGGTGCGGCCTCCGAGTCGGCGTCTAGCGCGCGCGATAAGCCTTCCCTGGGACCCCGTGTTGCATAAGGAGTGCACAGATGGGTGTTTCCACAATCAAACCGTCCGTGAAGAGTGCTTGATTCACGGACAGCGAGGCTGCCCGCATGTTCAATCGTTCCCGCAAGCGGAGCTCCCCACCGGGGGCTTGAAGACACTGAGCCGAGCGCGCCGGCGGCGGACCGCCGCCGGCGCGCTCGCTTCGGCGGATGGCTGAGCGGCACAGTTTCTGGCCGCCCGGCCTGCGAGCTGTCGCCGCGAGACGATCGAAGGCGCTCAGTTCAAGCGCGCCGCCATGCCAGATCTCGCCCCACGCCCCGACCAGACCAGGCAGTGCGTGCAGGAATTATGCAGGCATGGGTGTGGTGAGCACGCCAGCGGCACCGCTGCGCACTCTCAGGGTCGCAGCCGCCGATCTCGTGAGGGAGGGGCGTGGGTCGGGGCGGGTGCGAGAGAGTCGAGGAGCGCGGCGCGCGCGTGCGCGCGTGGGGTAAGTCGGTTGATATTTCATCACTGGTATAAAAGACCCAAAACGGCACGCGCGCCGCGCGCACGCGCGCTCGCATCACCTCAACACTCACACAGCAAATCAAAGATGCGGGCAGCCGCTCGGGGCGAGGGTTTCTTCGATCAAAAAAGGGACGTCAGCGAATCTGGGCACGGCTCATGTCACTGTCATCACTGTGCGATTTCGGGGCCCGGGGTTGTGCGTTTACGTGAAGGCGCCACAAGGTGTTTCTTTTCCCTGTCAGTGGGGGGTGGGGGGCCGAAGCAGCGGTTTTGGTGCGCTGGGGGCGCAGCGCACGGGCGGCGAGTTTGACCCGCAGGACTTGCTGCGTCGCCATGATGAGGCTCCGCCTCGGTATAGCCGAGATCGACAGCTACAACATGCTCTTCTACGGGCATTACCTTCGCCACAGCGAGCGAGCGGCCAACTCGTGCCTGGGCCGTGAGTCCACCAGCGCCACCGTCAGTCACGTGGCTCTGGCAAAGTACGTCAGCAGCGTGTCTTGGAACGACGTCGTGGACATCCGGACGACGGCACACCCGTCGGAGGATGGCACCCTGCTGCACGAGTGGTTCGTCAACGAGAGGTACGACACGCCCGTGCACGTGTGCCTCTGCAGCTACGACGTGGACGGACCGGCAGGCTTCGTCGGCGCGCGCACGCCCGACGGCAAGGAGGCGCGTCGGGTGAATCCGCGACAGCCGTGGGACCCTCTCGGAACCCTCTCGGAACCTTCCGCCCAGGCGCGTCGGCTCATCGCGCTGCAGCGCGAGGGCGCCGCCGTCTTCACGCCACAGGACGGCGCCGGCCGCAGCGAGGCCTTTGGCGTCTACCCGGACATGGTCGGCCCGAACGGCGCGCTGGCCGTGCCGTGCGTGATGGACCTATTCGAGCGGCAGCGCACCGTCTTGATCGGCGGGCAGGAGCGCACACGCACCCGCCACCTCGCCGCCTCCGTCCCCTCCTCTCTCCGCCCAGCCCGCCGCCGCCCTCGCCGCCGCCGCCCTTGCCGCCGACCTCACCCGACCCCACCCAGGAGGAGCTCGAGCGGCTCAAGCTCGAGGAGGGCACCTTCATCGTCGTCTACCTCATCCAGCAGCTGCGGCTGCCGCCGGCAACCGTCGTGCGACCGCGCGAGTTGGTCGAGGTGAGCTCTGCGTGCACGGTGCAGGGCGACGGCCTCTTCTACTGCGTCAAGCAGAGTGTGGTGCATCTGCCATCGGGCCAGCTGTGCGCGGAGGGCTACCTGAAGCTTGCCTTTGTGCGGGGCGGCGCCGTCGGCAAGGCGCCGCCCGCAATCCTCCGCCGCTTAGGCGTCAAGAATGACCGAAGTTAGTTAAACAACAGTGTCAGCCAACTGATACGCTATCTCATACGAACACAGAGGCGGCCGGTGTGCCGTGTGAAGGGGCTGGGGCCGCGCGCGCACCAAAAGGACGACAGCAAGACGGACTCACAAAAGAGAGCACACTGGCGCGCACAAGCACACTTGACATTATGGATCGCATGCGGTAAACTCAGGGAGGAAATTACAGGCAGGCGGGGAGGGGATGAACAGGATATCCCTTCTATTGCTTTGCCGTTTTGGCGCGCTTCCCTTTCGGTGCACCGCGGGCAATCGCTGGAGGCCCATCTCGGACGGCGACGCGCTGGACGCCCCATGCAACAAGACCCAGGCCGAAGACAGCCTGCTCCGGCGTGCCGGTGTTGCCAAGCCCTTTTCGAATCAGGAGTGCAGCTCCGACGAGAATCGACAGAGTCGTGAACCAGAAGATTGCGAAATCGACCCGTCGCAGGAGCTCCTTGCGAACGGTGACTCGGACGTCGGGAGCCAGCGTTGCGGTGACGGCCGGCACCGTGGCCTCCTTCTGCTTCTTGGAGGTGCCCATTCGGGCGGCAGCGCAGCGATCGCGGGTGTCTGTCCCAAGCTGCGAGAGGGCCAACTGAGATGGCCTGCGTGCTGCAGCTCTCTACAGCACAACAGGCTCGACACAGGTGCGAACACAGGCTGAGTGAGAATCAGAAGAAAGGGACACGAATCCCTCTCGAGCCTCCGCATACAGAATCCTGTCTTGGGTGGCAGAATCGCTAGTGCAGAATCCTCAGGCGTGGACAGGGTTCTCCAAGACTGCTGGCGCGTGCTAGTACTATCACAGGCACACCACCCGCCTAAGCGACTCCGTTAAGAACGGCAATGCACTTAGCACCGTGCACAATGCCGCTGTCCCCGCACGCTAGCTCGTTCACCGTCTGCCACGCCACGGCGGTGTGGAGAACGACAGACAAGCGCTGCATCTGCAGCCCGTGCCAGTTCTTGGTGGTCCATGTGACCTCATCGAGGTGCTGAGCGTGCGAAAGTTTGTTACTCAGCTGGTCCGCCGCCTGCCGAAGAATTTTGCGGACGCCGTCCCCGAAGCCGCCGAACGTCTCGAAGTCGAGGTTCGAGAGCAGCGTCGCGCACGACGTCGAGCTTAGCCGCGGCAGCTGGAGCAGCCGCATCAGTAGGCGACGCACCAGGGTCGCGTGAGGCGGCTGGCCCGAGGCCGGACGGCGGCGCGGCGGACAGCGGAACGAGCGTCGGAGTGGTTGCCGGGGCCGTACGGCTCGAGATCGAAGGTGTGGCCGCAGGGAGCGCGGGCAAGGGCGCTGGAAGCAACACGGAGCTCCGTTGGAGACGTTTTCAAGATTAGCGTGTCAGAGTGAAATGGCACTAGCCTGGACGAAATGCTCCACTGCCCCCCCGGAACGCGCCTGCGCGGCGGCGAGCAGTGAAGAGGCGCGGAAAGCTGATTTTTTTACTTTTGGACGCATTTCGGGCTCCGTACTGGTTGACGCAGAGCCGCACGCGCCGACCGGCGCCGTTCGCGATCACGAGGGAGGATGCTGGCCATCCCGGGCTCTGTGCACATCGGCAGCGCGCGTTCTACGCGCTCCGCTATCCAGGTCTTGGCGCCCCACCTGGCACGCGTCGCTGGGCGCTCAGTCCCGCGTCCCCTGCTCGCCACCCCGACGCTCAAGGCGCCCGAGTCGAACGACAGGCGGCACGCGAAGACTGGTTGCAACCCCGCCGACCACCAGGCCGCGGGGGGAGGTGCTCTGTACTGCTACACTATCAAACTATTAGCCTAATAACGTACCTAATTATCAACACATACCTAATAATTAGCTTGTTATTAGGACTTTCGCGTTATTAGCCCGGGCGTGGCTAATAATCGTAGCTAATAACCCTCCACCGCGGGCGGGCTCGAGCCAGGGCTAATAACAAGCGCTAATAATAGGGCTAATAACACGCGCCGACACAGCCGCACCGCCCAAGTCCAGTCCCCGCATGCCGCGCACGGGTGCTCTCGCGCTTGCGCGCCTGCCGGCTTTGCGGAGGGCACATGAGTAGCCTACGATTGACCCATCTCCGGCCGTCTCTATGCACTCGCAGGTGCGTTTGGTCCTCGGCGCGCCCGCTCTCGCTGCCTCGAGCTGCAGAGATGCCTGCAAAGAAGACCGGGCGCGGAGCGAATCTGAGCCTACTCAACAAGGAGCACCCGAAGGACAAAAAGGGCGACGACGACATCGGCGACCTCGTACGTCGACAAGCCGGACGACTCGTCGAGCTCGGGCGAGTCCACCAGCGGCGAGGCGCTGCCGCTGGTGCAGTCAACCCACCCCTTCTCTGGTGCGAGCAGCGCACGGAAGAAGGGGAAGAACAAGCGGCCTCGGGCCGCGGAGGGCCCTAGCCAACGGACGCTCGCCGATTTCATGCCCCGCCGGCCGCCTTCTCTCTCAGATGGCGCCACCTCTCAGCCTCCCGCCGACGCTCCCGCCGACGCTCCCACCTCCTCTCCCGCCGCCCCGACGGAGGAGATGGCGCCAGCGCTGCCCGAGCCCGAGCCCGAGCAGCTGCCGCCGCCTAAGCTAGCCGCGGAGCCACCGGCCAAGCCAAAGCGCGGCCGCCCACCGGGCAGCAAAAGGCCGGCTCAAGCCAGTGCGTCCAACCCGAGCCACTGCGGCCGTGCGTCGAGCTCTATCGGCGGCAACACGAGCGAGGTTTGGTGCTCTCAGGAGCGCTATGCCAACGCGTGGTCGGCAGGGGCCGGCGGGGCAGGTCCGCGGCGAGCGCTTCGCCTGCGGCGCGCGTCTCTGGCCACCAGGGAGGGTCTGGAGGGCGATTTTGGGGTCGATTTTTGGGAAGTGATGCCAATCGAGAGATCTCGCCGAGCCCTTTTCGGTGGTGTGCTTGCGAGCTTTTTTTCGCACGGGAAGCATTTTTCGTACTCACAAACGTGAATTAGTCGACTAGGCTGGGTGCACCAATATTGGAACACTCCAACATCAGATTTGCCGCGTGCGTCCCTTTTTGAGGCGGAAAGCCGTATTTTCTTTTGGGTCCTGTGGGCACCCTACACTTGGAGCACTTGGAGTGCAGTCATTAGCCTCACATCCAGGGCCGGGGAGCTGAGAAGCGCACCCAGCGGGCCGGATGATCGGGATCGGGTTGCGGGCAAGAGAGCCCTAGCCCTGGGGGGTGCGCGGTCGCAGGGCCATAACACGGGTCTCCGAGGGATAGTACCGCGCTCCGGGTTTCCCCTAGCAGCAGAACGCCCCCTCTACTCGGAGCTAAAGAATACTCTCCGAGAGTTAGTCCGCGCTCCAGGTTTCCCCTAGCAGCGGAGTCGCACTTGGAGCACTTGGAGTGCGGTCATTAACCTCACGCCCACCCAGGGCCGGGGAGCTGAGAAGCGCACCCAGTTGGCCGGACGCTCGGCATCGGGTTACGGGCTAGAGAGCCCTAGCCCCGGGGGTGCGCGGTCGCAGGGCCATAACACGTCTCCGAGGGATGGTTCCGTGTACCGGGTTACCCCTTAACTGCAGAAAGAAAGAAAGAAAGAAAACACGCAACCCAAGGGAGGGATGGGAGAACAACTGCAGAACGCACGCGGATATTAAAATTCTTCTTTTGTGCACTGCCGGCGTGTGCCTCCCCCCCGCCGCCTCCTCCTCCGCCGCCGCCGCCGCCGCCTCCGCCGCCGCCGCCGCCGCCTCCTCCCCCTCCCCCGCCTTTGCCCTCCCCGCTGCGCGCGCACCGCCATCAGCTGACGCCTCTCCTCCCGCCCCGCTGTAGGCGCGCGCCCCTCGTTACCGCACCCGCCGCACTGCGCTCCGTGATGGGCGGCGGCCCTCAGATCCCGTACCCCAAGTGGGTGTGGACGCCCGTCGGCGGCTGGTACAACAACTACCCGAAAAACTACCAGCGCAACGGGTTGATCATGGCCGCCGGCTGGTTCGCCGCGGTGACCGCCATCTTCCAGCTCTCTATTCGTTGCGAGCGGCGCGCGGTCGCTCCGCACAGGCCCATCCCCTCGCAGCGCTGGTGCAA